CGTGTCCCCTGTCTTGAGGTCCTTCACAAAAAAAATTGGAACCAGTAAGTTCAAATAATACATTATTATCCTTACAAAATTTATTAATGGAAAGAAGATGGGTAGAGGCTTGAGGGCAATAAACAACGTCGTTTAAGGCAAGAGTAGAGGAAGAAGTTTTAATAGTGGCATTGCTAGTATGTGAGATTATCAAACCTGGCCCATTACCTACGCCCACGGTATCAGTGCCTTCATAAGGCTGAGAAGTTGCCAAATTAGCTGCATCAAAAGTAGCATGAATATTCGCACCATTATCAGCGTACCATTGATACTGATTAAGGTAGGTGGTATTGGCCTCAGCAACCATAGCAGCTAATTTAGTTGGAGGATGACGTCCCTGGAAAGAATAATTCATGCCATTAAAGCAATCCACTGCCTGATGTCCCTCTCGTTTGCAGATTTGACATGGAGAACGAGAGCGACACACAGAAGGAGTAGGTGGAGCTAAAGAAGGGGACGAAAAGTGAGGTAGGGGCTGCCGAAATGGCAAAGAGGTGGTCCCTAAGCCTTTAGATGCTCCCGTGAAGCAAGACTTCTTATTGTTGTTGTTGTTGTTGTTGCGAGATCCTAGCTTAGACCCAGGTTTGTGAGAGTAGAGAGCAAATGAGCCTGCTTCGGGCTGAATAGATTGATTATGAAATTTTTGCATTAGATCATAATTCAGCAACTCTGCATGAAAATCCGAAAATGGCATAGATTTCTCCTTAGCAAGGAGCATATACAGTGTGACAAAAGAATGAAAGGAAGAGTTGAGGCCATTGAGAATAGAGAAAATTAAATCTGAATCATCAATGGGTTTCCCAACAGCAGCTAATTCATCAGCAAGAGACTTAACTTCATCCAAGAAACTTTGGCAAGACATAGAGCCTTGTTGTAAAGATTGTAACTTTCTCTTGATAAGAGAAATACGAGAGGTTGAGGGCACCGCAAAACGTGCACCAAGGGCTTGCCAAGCAAGTTGAGAAGTCTCAAGGCCATAAATAATGGAAACCACCACTAGAGACATGGGAGAAACAATCCAGCCAAGTACCGTTTGGTCTTTATACTGCCAAACCACATAAATAGAGTTAAGAATACCTTCGGTCCTTTGTTCATCATTGGAAAATTGAGGAGGACACGATTCGGAACCATCAACGATTCCAATGAGACCATAGCTCCGAAATAGAGGAACCAATTAAGCATGCCAGGCAAGGAAGTTAGGTCCATCAAGTTTGATGGAGATAACTTGAGCTGGAAGATGAAATGCAGCGGAAGAGGATGAAGGATTAGCAACCATAGGATTGATTATAGCGTTAGCTATAGTAAAGTTTGATACCATGAAATAAACCAAAACTGTTTTGGAAAAACTTACCAGATACAGAGTATATGCGTATATTTATACCAGAGTAATTACATTCAGATGAGATCAAAACCTCAGAAAATCTAAGGTTGTTACAAGAGATAAACATAGATTACAAACATTCAAATCTAAGGTTGTTACAAGAGATGAACATATATTACAAACATTCAAATATAAGATAGATGAAATGTAGCTCACTGGTTTAACGGAAACGCAACTCACTGACTTTGCTATGAGTTTTCTTGAATATTTGAATGATCATCATCGTTATCACTAACATTCGCTCGCAAATTGGCAGGAAGATAGTAGATAGCCAGTTTGTCATGAAGGAAACAAAATCTATTAGCTGTATGCCCTTTGGTGAAAATATCTGCAGTCTGAATAGAAGTCGAAATATGCTCCAAAATGATGTCTTGGTGTGCAACTTTCTCACGCACAAAATGGTAGTCCACCTCGATATGCTTAGAACGTGCATGAAAAATAGGATTGGAGGGAAGTGCAAGGGCACTAATGTTATCGCACCAGATAATAGGAGGTGAATCAAGAGAAATTTGCAGTTCACATAACAGCATACGCAGCCAATACAGTTTAGTTGTAACTAGAGCCAGACATCTATATTCGACCTCAGTGCTTGATTTAAACTGGTTGTTTCTATCAATTTAGCTTAGGGTTTGCGAATAAGCAAAAATGGAGAGAAAAAGTGTTTGAATTTGCTTTACTGATAAACTGATTTCAGTGATACTGTGAAGAGTAAACTTTACTCTTTTATACAAAAACCGAAATGTAAGAGAAGATCAAAGTGCTGCGTTTTACAACTGTTTTTATTATAAAGCAGAAACGACACCGTTCGCAGAATTACATTTTCCTCCTGCTACTTGGCTCTTTTGCACTTTCATCCTTTGACCAACATCCCCTCTTAAACTGGACACTCTGTTTCTGCTGCTTCAGCAGTGTTTCACCATCTTTTCTTAGCATTTCTTTTCAACTCATTGGTTCTTTGACCAACATCCCCTTTGAAACTAAACCTCTTTCTTGTTTAACTACCTTTGTGCTCCTTTAATTCCTCCAGTTAACAAGTGCTCAACTTTTTCAAATAATCAAAAAATCTTTCAACACCTCAAAAAACAACAACTCAAAAAATAGCAACTCATTTTCTTCTGCATTTTTTTTGCAGCTTCAGCAACTCAAAAAACAACTCATTTTCTTCTGCATTTTTGTTGCAGCTTCAGCAATTCATAATTCCTCCAACTGACTCAACTTCTTCAAATAATCAACAACTCATTTTCTTCTGCTTTTTTTTTTTTTTTTTTTTTTTGCAGCTTCAGCAACTCAAAAAACAACAACTCATTTTCTTCTGCATTTTTGTTGCAGCTTCAGTAAATCAAACTTCACAAACAGCATCATCTCATCAACCAAGCTTAACAATCAACAACCAAATCTCATCAACCAAGCTTAACAATCAACAACCAAACATGACAAGCAACTTCATCACATCAAACTTCAAATCAGCATCACCTCAACAACCAAGCTTAACAAGTCAGTAATCAAACATGATAATTAACTTAAACAACATCTCGTTTTCAATTCATCATTTGCAGTTTCAGCTTCACAACTTAACATTTCTTAGCTTAATCATTTGAGGTTCAAGACTATCAAACACAGCTTATACACTGTATTACTTAGCTCAGCCATCTGCATTTCTCCATTTTAACAACTCTCTGCTGCAACTTTTGGCAATACTACAATCTGCCACAACTGTTGCAACACTCACCACAAATTTTGGTCAACACATACCACAAAAAAAAAAAAAAAAAAAAAAAACTACAAACTGCAGTTTTATCAGTTAGGAGTCAGTATGTAGCACAGGGAACTGCAATCACATTCAGCTTCTGTCTCAACTCAGAAAATTGAATAGCAGACAATGCTTTTGTCAAGACATCTGCAATCTGCAATTTCGATGGTACATATTGAACTGTCAGATTCTTGGCAAGAACTTGCTCCTTAATGTAGTAAGCATCTATTTCTATATGCTTTGTTTTGGCATGGAAGACAGGATTTGAAGCTAAGGCTCTGGCACTTGTATTGTCGCACCAAATTATAGGTTTTGAGGGCAATTGAAGGCTGAGTTTAGTGAACATACTTTGAAGCCATGCAACCTCTGTGGCAGTTTGTGCTAAGGCCCTGTATTCAGCTTCAGTGGATGATAATGCAACAACTTTTTGCTTCCTGGAGCTCCACTGAATTAGATTAGGTCCAAGATAGACACAATATCCACTAGTCGACCTTCTATCTTCAACATTACTACCCCAATTTGCATCAGCACATCATTCAATATTCAGGGAACTTGCTGGTTTAACTAAAGCCCATAGTGCAGTGTTCCTTTAACATATCGCAGAATGCGTTTACATGCTTGCCATTGTAACTCAGTTGGGGCTTGTAGAAACTGACTAAGACGATTAACTATAAAGCTAATATCTGGTCTTGTTAATGTGAGATACTGCAAAGCTCTAATTGTGCTGCGATATAAAGTAGGGTTGTCAAACAGGTCACTATCATCACTCCTCAGTCTAGTACCAACAGCCATTGGTGTAGAGCATGAGTGGGCATCCATCATTCGGGTTCTAACAAGCAAATTTGAGGCATATTTGGACTGCCTGAGATGTATACCAACTGCTGTCCTGACTGCTTCTAGACCTAAAAAATACTTGAGTGATCCTAGAGTTTTCAAAGCAAATTGCTCATTTAACTCTCTCAACAACTGAGTAATGTAGGTTGCATCAGAACCAGTTATTAAAATATCATCTACATAAACAAGAACATAGATTAGTCTTGATGATTTTTTAAGAACAAATAAACTGGAATCTGAAATTGAGTTTTGAAAACCCTTGTCTTGAAGAGCAGCATTGAGTTTATTAAACTAGGACCTAGGGGCCTATTTAAGACCATATAAAGCCTTGTTCAACTTACACACATGTGAAGGATGAGCAGCTGATTCAAAACCTCTTGGTTGCTGCATAAACACTAACTCACTCAAAGTGCCATTAAGGAATGCATTGTTCACATCAATTTGTTGAACATCGCATGCATTGGTTACTGCTAGAGTGAGAACTATTCGGATGGTAGATGGTTTTATAACTGGACTAAATGTTTCGAAATAGTCCAATCCAGGAGTTTGTTGAAACCCCTTAGCCACTAGTCTGGCTTTATACTTCTGCAGAGTACCCTTAGCATTCAATTTTGTTCTGAAAACCCATTGGTTACCCACAATATTCATGTCTACAGTAGGAGCAATAAGGGTCCAGGTGTTGTTCCTGATTAAAGCATCAAATTATGCCTGCATAGCCTCTTTCCAAACTGCAGATTTTAATGCTTCAACAACTGTCACAGGTTCTGATTCTATAGGTGATTGACTGGTTGTAAGATAAACAGCAGGATCCAAGAAGTCAAAGGGTACATTTTCATGACCAGCAACAACTTTGGATCTTGTGATCATAGGGTGAGAATTCAGTGGAATAGAAGGTTGAACACTAGGGAACTATGAAGTAGTAAGGTCAACCTCAAGTTGACAATGTGGTAGAGTACTGGATGGTGAACAAGGTAGGATGGACTGAGATTGAGCAGTCTATAAATCTGTATGAGGACTGCCAGAGTGTGTTTTTGAAAGTGGATTTAAATCTGGAAGCTTACAACTATATGCAGGATCACAAGCTGGTGTAGTAGAATCTAAATCAACCTCAATATGAAAATTTGGCAAATTATTTGAGGAGGAAATAACAGGTAAAGAAGATACCAGATTATGACTGTTTGAGTTAGATGGGAAAGATTCTGATCTATCTTTAGTAACCTCATGTGAATTTATCAAAGGGTTATGACTAGAATTATCAGCAATTTTAGAGATACTAGGTAATGATGAATCAGATAAGTTTGAAGAGAGTTTACCTGCTACTGTAGAGTTAGTACCAACTGCTGGATTGTTAAGAACAGTCTGAGAACCAGTTACTACTTGGGGATCAGAAGCTGCTGAAAAAGGGTTATGTTGGAAGATTATATATGGCAGTGGTGAAGTATTATTAGAACAAGCATTGGTGGAATTGGCTGAAGGGTCAAAATTGGATTGAACAGAAGATTTATCAAACTCTTGAGAATAAGGAAATTCATTTTCATTAAATTTGACACTTGTAACTACTGCTGAAAACTAGTACAATGCATGCATAATAACAATATAAAATTGGGCCCCGAAATTTTCTTTTCATTATAAATCATATGTCTTTTATACACAAAGAGTACTGTTTACAAAAGATTCATTTTTAAAAGACAAAACAGGGGAAACAGTGTAGCTATTCTCTTCGCTTGCCGACGCCCCTCCGACTGCATCATCACCTAGATCCTGCATCCACAAAGGAAAATAACGGGGTGAGCACAAAATAATGCTTAGTAAGTAAAACCCTCTATCTGTATGTCCCCGTATGTACAACTCTTAATTCTTTCCTTTTTCTAATGCTGTTTCTAATAACATCATGGCCTTATCTTACCGGAGGTACGGCCGGATGGCGTTCACACAGCACCATCTCACTCTCGATGGCTATCGGGTGGAATTCACATAGTACCAACCCGTTCTTAGTGACTACCGAATGGGGATCACAAAGCACCTACTCGGTTTTCTTAACTATCGGGTGGAGACCACCTAGCACCTACCCGCTTCTCATGAATTTTGGGTAACGATCACCAAGCATTAACCCGTCTCTAGTCACTATTGGGTGATGGTCACAAAGCATCAACCCTCTTCTACTAAATGTTGGATGATGATCACAAAGCATCAATCCACTTATCTAACAACTAACAGGGTGGTGGTCACAAAGCATCCACCCGTTTCTACTACTCATCGGGTGACGATCACAAAGCATCGACCCATCTCTAAGGGCTATTCGGGTGGTGATCACAAAGCATCAACCCGATTCCCATAACTATCGGGTGATGATCACAAAGCATCAACCCAACTATACTACTCTTCTAATTCACTCTATTCCTTCTAATTCACTCTATTCTAACATTCTTCAAATTCTCTCTACCCTTAAGGTAGTTGTACCCACCAAGCTCTCTACTCAAAGGGTAATTACATACACAATTTTCCTACACTTTCTTAGGTCACTTTCTAATGCACAATTAGTGCTATGGATGTTTTCATCACTACCAATGCACTTATGAAATGCAAACATGCAATGTTGCAAGAATTAAGGTTCATTACTCATCCTCAAACTTCTATTAGGCATTTCATCAAACAACTCAAGTGCACTATAAAACTCTACTATAGCAATGATTCAAATCTTTCTCTAACCATCCAATGGGGAAAAACCCCTTCACATAACCATAAAACCTGTCAAAGAAAGCACTTCCAAAAAGGGATCCATACACCCCTTCATTCCATCTCAAACTACCTTTCCAACCCAACACTCATTTCTATATTTTGCAAGGTATTAACATTCCCAAAGCATAGAAATCTCTATTTAAACTTCCATACATGGCATATCACATGTATATCACATACATCATTTCTACAAAACCCTAATCAAGAGAATTCTTAAATCTCAACTTGGGTTGGGATTTACTTACTTTGTTATGGAGAGACTTCACCAACTCTTCCTTTCACTTGTTTTGCTTGACTTTTTCTCTACTCTTAACCAAAAGAACAAAAACCCTCAAACTTCAATATGAACCAAAACTCACAAATCACACAACTTAAGTAGGAATCCTTACCTTAGGAAGCCTTAGGTTGCTTTTCTACCCCAAATCACTTCAAAAACCCCTTGGAATACCTTGATCAAAAGAAAAGAGAAGTTGAGAGGAGCAAAGATAGGGAGTTGCGTTTTTGGAGAAGAAGAATGAGGGGTTTTCCAATTCTAATTCCTTTTAATGAAATATATACACACTCATTCGCATTTTGCCCTTATTCTTCTTTGGGAATTCCATCTATATCCTTTGATTCATTACAAACTCATCCCCTTAACAACATATTCTCTATGAAAAATCCTTACAATTAACTCCCCACTTTTCCTACTAATTAGGGGTAGAATGGTCAAATTGTCCTTAGGGAAGAAAATATCTAAAACTTAACCAACATTTTAATCGGCCTGTCGCCGCGGCGAAGAAACTTCTGTCGCCGCGGCGAAACTGTCCAGCAGCTTCCCCGTGGCTTCAACACCTCTTCGCCACGGCAAAGATTCTTCTTCGCCCCGGCGAAGACTAAAACACTAAACTTCTTCTATTTTCAACCAATTTCAGGGCAAACATTCAACATAACATTCAATCAAACAATATTACCAAAACCAACTCAAATAAGAGCGAAAAAAGAAACAACAAATACGTACCTCAAGTGGGGCGTTACAACACTAGGGGTAATAAAAATTTTTCCATCAGCTCTTAAACACTTATAACCTTTGTGAAGTAAACTATACCCTACAAATAAACATTTTGAGGAATGAAAATCAAACTTGTGACTATGAAAATTCCTAAGAAAAGGGAAACAAGAACAGCCAAAAACTTTAAGACTTTCATACATAGGATATTTATGAAATAGCATGAAATATGGAGTGTTATTATTTAAGACAGCAGTGGGCAGTCGGTTAATGAGAAAGGCTGCTGTTTCAAAAGCTAGCCACTAGTATTTTAAAGGCATAGAGGCATGAGCTAATAAGGTAAGTCCTGTTTCAATAATGTGCCTATGTTTCCTTCTCACTACGGCCATTTTGTTGATGAACATAGGCACAAGAGTACCTAGTTTGAATACCATTTTCAGTCAGGTAAGGAAGTAAAACTTTGTACTCACCTCCTTGATCTGACTGGAGACACTTTAGTTTTGTTCCAAACTGCCTCTCAGCAAGGTGATGGAATTTGATAAAGGTGGATTTAACTTCAGCTTTTGTTCTAAGGGGAAACAGCCATGTGAAGCGACTGAAATCATCTAGGAATTGCACATAATACCTAAATCCTTCTACTGAGGTGACTGGTGCAGGACCCCACACATCACTATGAATTAGAGCTAAGGGTTCTGTAGCATGAGATTGAGACAAGGGAAAACTATTTTGATGTAACTTTCCTAGCTGACAAGCATCACAGAAATTAGACACTTTGATAGGCAGACTTTGGTTTTCAGTAAGAGAAACAGATTTGGGAAGTGTTGATAAGATTTTATGCAATTTAGTTGAGTTGGGATGACCCAATCTTTTATGCCAAATCATGTGTTGATGTGAGTGTTTGTCAACAGTCAAGCAATTTGCTATGGAAACAGTAGTGTAAAAAATTTCAACAGACAATTGTTCATGAACAGGGCAATTAACAGCAGATAATTGTTCACTAACAAGACAATAAGTAGACAATTTTTCATTAACATAGCAGTTTGCAGTATTATTTTCACTCATTGACGCAGTAACAGTATTATTCTCAACCATTGAAGCAGTAGGCTCAAACAAGAATTCATCATTATGTATTTCATTAGTAGTAACAGTAGGACAAACATTAGGTTCAACAGAAATACATTTTGACTCATTTCTAGAACAAAAACCATTACATTGTACTTCAGAAACAGAACCTTTATTATAGCTAACATTCGAAACTACATCAGAGTTTTTATTGACTTTTCCAACTAACTCTAGATGTTGGTTGTTGGTCACAGGTTTATGGAAGCATTGAGAGGAGTCTTTGGTTGAAGGACTCATAAAATGTGCAGTGGCTGCCAGGTTTGGTGACGTATAAGCGGTAGTCAGATCACATTGATAAGAAGAGACACATGGTTTGAACAGGTCAGTGGTGTTTGTTGGAATTTCCAGTTGATAAAGTCCTTCTTTAAGACCCCCTTGTAGTAACATGGCCTTGGTTGACTTGTCCTTAATAACACAAGAGTTAGCATCAAACTCAACAACAACATTATTATCCCTTGTAAACTTAGAAATACTCAGCAGATTTTTTGTGATTTTAGGAACACACAGTATGTTTTTAAGATAAAGACACTTAGAATGAAGATTACTAGGAATAAATGAGTGACCAGTATGGGAAATGAGAAGGTACTCACCATTGCCAACCTGAAGCTTATCCTCACCTTCATAGTTCTTACTAATGCTCAACTGAGATAGGTTGCAAGTGACATGATCTGTTGCCCCGGAGTCCATATACCATGCTGCATCAATTGGAGTGGTGACAGAGGCCTGTGAATTATTGTACAGTGTTGTGCAGTTCTAAGCTGGAAAAGCATTGCTTCTAGGATTCCCCAATGAGATACCACCAGTATGAACCAGATTTGCTTGACTATTGGCTCCCATCTGGTGACTAGGAACTCCAAATGATGCTGAAGAACTGACATTATTCTTAGGATTGCCAGTGTACTGTGACTGCTGTGGAGTATAATGTTGTTGCTAGGATTGATTGTACTGTGACTGCTATGGGTTATAATGCAGGTGCTGTGTTTGAAATGTACTATCAGGATGCTGCTGTGAGGTACCAATAGGAGAATATTGTACTGGTTCAGTAGGATAAGTGTTGAAGTGGTGTTGTGGTACTGGATCTGTAAATGAGTGGCTAGGAAAGTTTCCATTGCCAATAAGGCCTTGTTGAATTTGAGGTGAGCCTGACTCCTTACCCAATAAGGCCTTGCTGAATGGGAGGATTACCCCCTCTTATAACCCAATAAGCTTGAACGTGTCTAGTCAATGTGGGACTCCAACACTCCCCCTCACGGTCAAGCCCTTATGTTGGGTCATGCCTGTTATTAGAGGTAGTTGCTGGCTCTAACTCCTTACCCGCTAGTCAAGCGCTCAGCTCAACTAAACCTGGGCTCTGATACCATGTTAATTTAGCTTAGGGTTTGCGAATAAGCAAAAATGGAGAGAAAAAGTGTTTGAATTTGCTTCACTAATAAACTGATTTCAGTGATACATTGAAGAGTAAACTTTACTCTTTTATACAAAAACCGAAATGTAAGAGAAGATCAAAGTGTTTCGTTTTACAACTGTTTTTATTATAAAGCAGAAACGACACCGTTTGCAGAATTACATTTTCCTCCTGCTACTTGGCTCTTTTGCACTTTCGTCCTTTGACCAACAGTTTCTTCGCCGACCATGAGATATGATTGGGACCAACAAAAATGCCATAGCCACAAGTTGAACGTCTATCATCGGGATCACCGGCCTAATCCGAGTCGCAATGTGTTAATGGAAAAAAACCAGGTCTATAAAAGAGGCCAAAGTCCAGAGTATTTTTCGAGTAACATAAGACACATTTGGCTGAAGTCCAATGAGCTGTAGTTGGTGCTTGCATATGTTGGCAAAGTTGATTCATGGAGTAGGCGATATCTGGGCAAGTGAGAGCTACATATTGTAAGGCACCAACTGTGTGATGATATTCTGAAGGATCAAGTAGGGGGTCTCCATCAAATTTGGATAGCTTAATACCCGAAACACATGGGGCACGATAAGGATGTATGCCAATGAGATTGACACAATCCAAGAGATCAATAATATATTTTGCCTGCCAAAGATGTTAACCGAAAGAATCAGGAGTAGCTTCAATACCCAAGAAGTATGATAACTACCCAAGGTTCTTCATGGTAAAGTCCAGTTAAGATTAGAGATCAGTTCATCAATAAATGACTGAACATTAGATGTCACGAGAATGTCGTCCATGTAAACTAGCAGCAAGGCATGTGTAGAGTCACGGTGATAAGTGAACAGAGAGGGATCAACTTGAGAGCTTACAAATCTAAGAGATAAAAGGGTAGTGGATAAGCGATTAAACCAAGCCCGAGGAGCTTGTTTTAATCCATAAATAGATTTATGCAACTTACACACAAACTGTGGATTGGTAGGATCTTCAAAACCTTTAGGTTGAACCATATAAACTTCCTCATCCAAAATTCCATGAAAGAAAGCGTTAGACACATCTAGTTGCCGAATGTCCCAATTAAACGAGACAGCAAGGGAGAGTACCATGCGAATTGTGGAAGGTTTAATAATTGAGCTGAATGTGTCAAAGAAATCAATACCACTACGCTGGAGATAACCAACTGTAACTAGTCGTGCTTTGAGTCTTTCAATACTTCCATCTGGTCTGCGTTTGGATTTAAAAACCCACTTACTCGGAACAACATTTTTGCCGAGTGGATGAAAACATAAAGTCCAGGTTTGATTCTTCAACAAAGCTTGGAATTCAGACTCTATAGCTAAATGCCATTCAGGTATAGTAGTAGCTTGAGCATAGGAACGAGGCTTGGAAATAATCACACTTGCATGCAAAACTCGAAGGGGGTGACATGTTGAGTAATAGAGATGAAAATCAGGGTATGTGCGGGGCTTAAGATGACCATTTTGTGATCTAGTGACAACGTGAAAGGAAAGGGCTGAACTGGTAGGAGTAGTAGGTGTGGGCTCAAAGATACTGTTCGAAGAAGAGGGAATAGGAAAGGCAATGTCTGGTGGAGTGTCTAGTGGAATGAAGAAGTCATGGTCAGTAGGAATTATAGGAGTAGTGTAGGATGGTGAAATTGAAGTGGAAGGAGAAGATAAGGGAAATATGTGTGAAGGTGGAATAGGAAGTAAGGGTGGAGAATTACCTGTTGAGGGAACTCTGCTGCCAGAGTCCATGATAGGAGATTGTACACGAGCAGGGAACCCTCATCAAAGATCACATTTATGGAAATATACACACGTCGGGAGGAAGGATCATAGCACCGAAATCCCTTTTGATTAGAACAATAACCAATGAAAATGCATGGTGTGCTATGGTAAGAGAGTTTATTAGACATCTAAGGTCGAAGACATGGAAAACATTGACACCCAAAGGAACGAAAATAGCTAAAATCTGGAGGAAGATGAAATAGACATTCAAAGGGTGAAGAAAAATTGAGAACTTTAGTGGGCAACTAATTAATGATAAAAATGGAAGTTAAGAAAGCATCTACCCAAAATTTCTTAGGTAAGCCAGATTGTGCAAGGAGAGTGAGTCCATTTCAACTATATGACGATGTTTCCTCTTGGCAAGACCGTTTTGTTGAGAGGTATGCAGACAAGAGAGCCGATGAAAGACCCCATTATTACTTAGAAATTGTTTAAAAATGGTGGAATAGTATTCGCCACCATTGTCACTTTGTAATTGCTTAATGGGATAACTAAATTGCTTTTCTACTAAAATTTTGAATTTGACAAATGTAGCATAAACATCAGATTTATGAGAAATGGGATATAGCCAACAAAAGCGAGTAAAGTCATCAATAAAAATAACATAGTAGAGACAACCACTCAAAGATGGAGTGGAAGTGGACTAGACATCGGAATGAATTAACTCTAGAGGAGCAGTTGACTCTTGTGAGGAATAAAAAAATGGCAACTACTTAGACTTACCTAGTTGACACGACACACAAATAGACTTTTTATTGAATGAATCACTAACAGGTAGAGAATAATTATGAAGAACATTATGCAAAGTAGATGATGAAGGATGTCCTAAACAACAATGCCAAGTAGCTATAGATAGGGATGTATACGAGCCAAGCCGAGCCGAGTCGAGCCAAGTATCTCGGTACTCAAGCTCGGCTCGTGATGAACAGTACCGAGCTCGAGCTCGAGATCAATTGAGCTTCAATATTTGTATTCGAGCTCGAGCTCGGTACTGTGAAGGTGTACTCGAGCTCAAGCTCGAGCTCGCTTAATCGAGCTCAAACGAACGAGCTCAGTATTAAAATATTGTATTTTCTCTTTCTCCCTTCATTTTCTCTTTCTTTACCTATCAGGCTATCACCTTTTTTTTTTTTTTTTTCCTCTTTCTCCCCTCATTTCCTCTTTCTTCTTTTCACCTATCACCTCATCTTTTTGTCTCTCTTTCTCCCCGTCCTCTTCTCTTTTTGCCTTATTCCCTTCTATTTTCTTACTTCTTCAAATCTTCTCCTTCATCTTTTTTTCTTTTCTTTCTCTCCATTCTCTTATCTTTCTTCTTTACTTCTTCCATATTCTCTTCCCCATTCTCACCTCCCCTTCTCTTTCTTCTTCTGCTCCTTCAGATTTTCTCCTTCATTATTTTTCTTTCACATTCTAAGCTTGAATGGAACCGAGGATGAATGAAGGTGAAAGAGAAGATGAATGAAGTTGGATTTTTGAAGCCGAAAGAAAAAATCCCAAATAGGTTTTGAGTTTTTGTTTGAGCTTTGAAAACGGGTTTATCATTTTTGTCTGTGAATGGGTCATGGGTGTTGTTTATAATTTTGACAACTTAAAAATAAAACTTTTGAAATCTTGCAAATTGGCCCCCAAAGCTCGTTTAAGCTTGCGAGCTCGACTAGCCGAGCTCAACTTAGATCAAACTCGGCTTGTTACTGTTCACGAGCTGATCAAGCTCGAGCTCGACTCGACTGGTTTAGAGTCGAACCCGAGCTTACGACGAACTGAGCTCGAGTAGCTCACGAGCTACTCGGCTCGTGTCTCATCCCTAGCTGTAGAGGCCTTGACCCCAACAGTCATGGACAAAGCATGAAATTTAGATTATGACAGCTTGGAGAAAGCATGAAGTTTAGATGATGACAACTGTTGTTGGTTGATCGTGTACAATCCTCTATCACTGGGCCCCTTTATGAGCGTGTCCCCTGTCTTGAGGTCCTTCACAAAAAAAATTGGAACCAGTAAGTTCAAATAATACATTATTATCCTTACAAAATTTATTAATGGAAAGAAGATGGGTAGAGGCTTGAGGGCAATAAACAACGTCGTTTAAGGCAAGAGTAGAGGAAGAAGTTTTAATAGTGGCATTGCTAGTATGTGAGATTATCAAACCTGGCCCATTACCTACGCCCACGGTATCAGTGCCTTCATAAGGCTGAGAAGTTGCCAAATTAGCTGCATCAAAAGTAGCATGAATATTCGCACCATTATCAGCGTACCATTGATACTGATTAAGGTAGGTGGTATTGGCCTCAGCAACCATAGCAGCTAATTTAGTTGGAGGATGACGTCCCTGGAAAGAATAATTCATGCCATTAAAGCAATCCACTGCCTGATGTCCCTCTCGTTTGCAGATTTGACATGGAGAACGAGAGCGACACACAGAAGGAGTAGGTGGAGCTAAAGAAGGGGACGAAAAGTGAGGTAGGGGCTGCCGAAATGGCAAAGAGGTGGTCCCTAAGCCTTTA